AGAAGCTCCAGCTTGAGCTACGCGAAATCGCCTGAAGTGACCCGTGTCCCAGGTGACATTCGATGTCCCTTTTCTGCGTGAATTTGAATTCGTGGTTCACGGGATGAGAGAAATAAATTTACCGGGATAAATATCCTGTTCCTGAGAAACGACAAGAGCCGTTTTCATGTTGAATTAGCTTGTCCTTCGTTTGAATGCGGATAGGGAATGAAGAGCATAAGTGACCAGGAACATATTTTTTTATTTTAACGACTGAGAATCTTAGCATGCGGACCACGGGTTCGACTCAGATAACAGTCCCATACGGGTGAGTTACTAGATCTAGAATTACTGTTCATTCTCAAGAGCCTACACAAGACGGTTGTAATTCTTATTTCCGAAGCTTCTGCAGCACCCAAAAACTTCCACGCGGACGTCATCGTTTCCGTGTAAGTTCCGTATTCGGAATTCTAGAACCCTTGCGGCCCACCGTAGGTGTTTGTGTTTCAGATGTAAGGACAACAGTAATGTGGCTAGGACAAACGTTGGCACTTATCGGATGTTGAATGGGGTGGAAGTATTCTTCAACGAAGTTGCGACGTGTCGATTCACAACAGCATGGTAGAATTGTGGTACAATTTAGTTCTGCTGTCGTCCTTCATCCCTTATTCTGTTTATGGCTCTTGGTTCCATTCTTACGTAATTTTTTGTTCAGAACGTTGAATCTGAAAAATCATCGATTAATGGAAAAATCGGTATTCATCAAGCGTATAACGAGAAATCATCTTCCTTTCGTATGTAATGTTCAGTGTCATTAAATTAGGATAGTGTTTAACTACTGAAGCAATGGCCGAGTATTTCTTCTTTCCGGAGAGGAACGCGTCCTCTTCGTTGATTTCAGGCCATGAAATCTTCACCGCATGAAAGCTGAATGTTTTGTTGTTGCTAGTTTTCGGGAGTCTTCATATTCAAGATGCCCGAAGGTCGCGCAGTTATCGGAAGTAGTGTAATCCGTCTTCTTCCTTGCCGTGTGTGAATCCCTTATATTTCGCATGCCGCTTTAAATAATTTATTAGAGCATAGCTGATTCCACAAAAATCCAGACGTGGGGGAAAACTGCAACTGCTGAAAAGATGTCTACAGACCTGAAATATCACTAGATTGTGACTTCATCGCTCTCTATTCAATGCCCAGAGAATCAAAATCTAGAAGAAAGATTTCCGTTAATATAGGAACCCATCGAATCAGTTTTAAAACTTTTAATAAAATTTACCGTATAGCCAGATGAAGTGTGCAATAGTTGATGATGGAGATGTACAGTATATCGAATAGCATACATTTTTAGGAGTTGTCCGATTTGGCCCACTCATCCGAAGTAGTCGTAGTTTTTCTTAAACACATTTGTTCGATTGAAAGAGGCAAAAGATGTACATTATGAGGTATTTTTCGAATCCGCACCCATTCATGATATTGATCGAATGTTGGCACAGTACTGGTGTTCAACAGTAATTACGTTTTCATCAGGATTCTGACACGCAAAAACATGTTTGAAGAAGGATTGCAGGGCCCTCCTACGACAACCTGCATCTCCAGCTACCCAAATGAAAATAACACGAAGCATGTGGAAAAAAAATCGCGACATTTACTCTTTCGAACATTGGCATCAAAGAACGAATAAGTCGCATCATCCTATTATATCCTCTCGTCACAAAAACAGGATCGGCAGTCAACCGCACTCGCACAAACATGACTGCAACAAGTAACAAAACCCCTTTCGGCCACACACAAAATAAGTAGAAGCGCGCTTTTTCCCCGGCAGCAGAGCAGAACAGAACAACAATCGCTAAAGTAAACCCGCTGGTTGAGGTGACGGGATACCCGACGGACCAGGTACAGGGGGCGGAGGAGGTGTATCATTCTTCTGCTTCTTTTTCTTCTTCTCCTTTTTCTTCTTACGCCGCTCCTCGTCACCGTGCTTCTTGGTCTTCTTGTGCTTGGTTTTCAGAGCAACTGGCAATTCAGTCGTCTCCGCCATCAGTGCCTCCGTGGTTTGAGGCGCTTCTGGCGTGGAGTCACCCGGTGCACTGCTCACACCAAATGGCCCACGATATCTTCTTCTCTTCTGCTTGTGCTTTCTAATCTTTGTCGGGCTCTGCGTCATGAAACGATACTGTTCCGGAAGCTTGAAATAAAAAAAAAGCAAGCTACAACAACAACGATCTCGAAAAAAAAAGTGTCGAGACGCAGCGAAGCACTTCGCAATTGAGACAACATACTGTAGTTCGAAGTAGAAGTTTTCAGAACATCAAAAAAATTATTTCAAATACTAAAAGCAACCATAAAACGGAATATGAACACAAAATTAGGGTATATCTGGGATAATGGAATCACCAAACATCCTCGGGCCTCCATGGAATTCTGCGAACCAAATTAAACTCTCATGGTAGGAATTTCGTTGAATATCGTTATTCACATTTCTCTTATGAAACACAATCCGAAGTTGATGATCATGATGGGCATTAAATGCAAAAAATAAACCCCAACTCGGAAAGAAGGCGACTAGTGAAATTTAAATTCAACAAAAATGAAAAGAATTGTTGCTCGATGTGAAAATCGTTAAGATAGAAATATCCGTATGATCTTTCATTTAAATGGGGATACGGAAAATCGAGACAAACAATTTGAGACTAGACAAATCGAGACAGGTACAATTTGCATGGATAACATAACATAAGAAGGATGGCGAAATCCATTGAAAGCTCACTTGAATTTGATTCTTCAAGGACTCGGAGACACCGAGAATTAAAGCGCGCTAGAACACAAGTACAAAAACACCAACTTACCGGGCCAGGATGCAGCCGGAAACCGGCTAACTGCGCGGTAGTAAACTGAACCAATTCTTTGGGCACCAAGCGATGCTTTTCGATGACGGAACGAAGCGAACTGAAAATAAATAAAGTTTCAAAAAATTTCAATACAAAAAAGCCAGCCGAAGTAATGAAATACGTTCTTCACACAAAAAATGATCGGAGGATCCAATCCGTTTACCAGAAACTTAATTTGACCAAAATGGTCTTCAATAACGATCATAAGTAATGGTAAGTCTGAAATAGAGCCGATTAGTGAGAGACGAACCTTCCATCTTGAGATCCTTGGGTGTCAATTACACCCGGCAAGTTCGGCAGAAAGCTGGATAGTTGATCCTTCACCTTCTTGCCATTGAATTTGTTATAAGCATGTTCGAGATTGTGTATTGCCATAAGATTCGTCGCACCTGTCCGCTCACTTGGAGCTTCGGAAGAAAAAAACAAAACATTTTTATTTTCATTCTCCAGAATTGTACTGTAGTTTGAAATGCAATAAAGTACTAATTTATGTTATTGTTTTCATGATCATATCAGAAAATCATAGAAAAGAGCGAAGGTAAATACGCAAGTGTCGTAAATTCCTGACTGAGCGGCATTTTTAAAAAAAATGTCCTTGTACATAATCTGGATGTAAAGCAGCACGGTAATTCGTTCATACGTAATCATTCCTTGCTACCATGGATGGTTATGACACGATGGCAACACGAGAGGATGTTCCAGTAAGAAAACGATCCTCTAAAATTATTTTGAAATTAGTTTTCGGGTCAAGAACGGATGCGGAAAAACCCCCGCACATCTAACTATAATGTTGTGAATCAAGCCTACCAGTACGTTAACATCAAGCACTGCACGTAAATTCCCATCTCTTGAATCCTGATGAATTTCATGAGTCTATCTTGCTTCAAACATGAAAAAAAGGCACAAATCGTGTGAAGATTGTCTAGCATTTAAAAAATTAATGCATAAACGCGTTTCAAGAACCTAAAAAAAAACTAACGAGGGAGCTCCTTCATGAGGTAGAAGGGGCGGTTGTGAACAATGCTCGGGGTTTTGCCCATGCCCAAGCAAATAGTTGTTTTAAGAGTGCCCGACGTGGACGTGGTTGTGTCCTGAGATCGGGGGGCCGTTTGTGACCCAGGCGGCCCCCGGGGCGAAGATTTCGGCGAATATTGCTCCATCGCAACTGCCGTGAACCGTCCTCACCGCTCACCAGCCAACCACGTTTCTTGACTTTGCCTTACTATAAACATAGTTACCAAAATGCACTGAAAAGTTTCATTCCTCCTGAAAATCAGAAAAAAAAGCACTGCCAACAGACGTTCTTCACACAAAAAATGATCGGAGGATCCAAGCACTTATGCGACCATTTCTCTAATCGAACATAATCGAAGTCAAACTCAAACGTTCACGAAAAATCACTAGGAATGAAAGGAACACTAAAGAAGAAACACGAACTAAACGTTTTCACGGTCTCCTCACTTCAAAACCCAACTGTCGTTCTGGATTGTCCGACAGGTACCACATAAAAAATTCAATTAAATTCACAATCATCCGGAAAAAACCAATTACATTTGTAATATTAGGGCGAACCCATGCAAAATCAAAGAAATCTATGCGTTCGGAGACACCCGTAGTTGAAGTAAAAATGACCCGTGTTTATGCGCAAATGCTCTGAGAGATGGTGCCTTTGATGTTCGATTGGAGAAGGCCGACAGCAGTAAAATAAAACCAGAGTCGAAAATGCCGACTGACTCAAATGAACCAAGTTCCATAACAAGAACGATTTTTTTTCCTGTCCCAAATAATCACTTCCGCTGCCTCGCTTTTGCTCTGTTCCATTGGCGGCGTTCAACTTTCTTCTGTGCTCGGTTATCCTTCTTCATGCGAGGATCGACGACTTTGTAAGGACCCTTCATACCAGGAGGACGAATGCCTTTTTTAGCCAAAAATCTCCGGGACACGACATACTTGACTTCTTTCTTTTTCGTGTTCTCCGTCAGAGCTTTCCGGTAGATTCTGTGAAAGTAAAACACATCGCTTGACTGTAAAAATTAGCCCATCGAGGAAGTCCGGGACAACGTGATTCTAGAATTATCAACTACCGCATTCAAGCAGTGGATGATTAAAATAAAAATACAGAAAGAATAATTCACTCACTGTTTGATAGTACTATTTTTCTCACGATCCGTCATGTCCGAGTTTTCGGTGACGTTTTCTGCCTTTTTTCGAGCCTTGTCCAGACGCAACTTCGCACGCCTCTTCTTCCTGGCTTTGGCCTCGACGACCTTCTTTATCGGCCTAGCATCAATTTCCTTCAACTTCTGCTTGTACTCCTCCACTACTTCCTGAAAAGTCCAACATCAACTCTCAATCTCTTCAATCACTGGGAAGCGAACAAGAAATTGTTCCATAATTATTATTCTATTTTTCAAGAGAGGTACGTAGACTCTTTCAGAACATGCTCGCACAGAGTCGTGCAAAATTAAACTTTTACTAAAATCAAGTCATATCAGGAATTTTGGGTGAAAATCCATAAATACGCCAACATGATTCCCCAGATTCGAACCGTGTCACAATAAACAAGAGATTTTGCAAGCCGAAGGGTTGATGATCGTAAAAATGATCCAACGTTGAGGTGGGACTTACATTTACGAAAGTGAATACAGTGGCTATTTCTTGTGATCGGTCTGATTTCCTGCTTGAAAAAAATATTTCAGCTTGTAAAGGGGGCTTCGGATTTGAATTGTTCATTTCATCCCCCTTTCGATGCTTTCATCGCCTCAAAAATTGAAAGCGTGCACAGTATTGAGGTGACTCAACTGTACACGATACTTCGAAGTTGTATCGCAGTACTCACAACTCAACACGGACGATAAAAAAAAAAAAAGACTAAAATAAATTGCTCACCCGCGGGGGTTGGACAGGCCTGCGCATGTGCTTCTCTTCGTCTTGCACAAACCATTCGGGCAGTCCTTCAGTTTCGTGGAAAGAATAGCGATTCCAACTAGCATCCATCAAATCTCTACGAGCTTTTGCACTTTTGATGAGCATTGTTCCGATTGCCATGCCATTGGCATCTAGTTTAGGTATTTTCTTTTTCTTCTTCACCGGTTCGTCGATTTCAGGCTCCCCATTTTCTTTTTCCATTTGTCGATTTTTCCGTTTTTTCGACTTTCTACTCAAGGACTTTTTTTCATCCTCGTCGTCGTCGTCGTCTCCATCGCTAGATTCTGCCAATAAGGGATTTGACTTGATTCGAAGATATAGTTGACACGTGTTGAGTTAGTCTGCGTACCTTCATCATCAACTCCAGGTAGGGGTTGGACGGGAACCTCCTCAAAGCCGTACTTTTCAACTGCTTTCTGAGTTGCGTCAGCTAAGTTCTTTGTTTTCTTTGCAGCTTCTGGACCTTCGAGACGAAGCAGACGGTATCTGGTTGGTAAAAACTTTCGCAGGACTTTAATCTGCGTTTCTGTTGCTAGCTCATAGGTTGTGTGTCAAGTGAGGTTTCAACTGTTGGCCCAGATTTTTAATGTTTTTTTCATATAATTCCTAAAACGACTCTCCTCATATATCGGTGGATAAGTAATTTCTCAGTTTTTTTTCATTCATTGTTATTGTACGCAGGCGCAGAATTCTGTCTCCGTCAGAATCTTAGCACATTAAACCACGGATGAGAATCACCAAGTCAACAGCTTACGTTTCTTATGAAGTCTCGCTCAACCAGGAACTTTTTATACAAAACGATTCAATCCTCGTGAAGAAGGTCTATTACGACTTTCTCAGCAGTGATTTTCTCATCTCTAACTAGAAACTGAGCATGTACAGAAAATGTGAATAGAAGCGGACATCACGTGCTACTAAAGAATCCAACAAGCTCAATTCTTCGGTAGCTCGAACCCGTTCAGAAGTATCCACTTGAAAATCGATCAACTTTTCAGGCATAAAAAAAGGAACGAAAATGCATTGATCATAAATGAACGGACGCTAACCCGACTGAACCAATCGTCCGCTTTTCGCTTCCTTTTTTCTTCTTTGGAGCCGGGCATTAGGTCGACAAGCATCGGATTCCGCTCGAGATCGTCTTCATCCTCCGGAAGGTCAACTTCGTCTTCACTGTCTTCTGATTTTTCAATTCCCAACCCTTCGTCGACATCGCTTCCATCGTCATCTTCACTTTCGTCAGACCGATGTTCACTGAGATATCTCTCGTCCAACTGGTTCGCAGGTACTCGAACACGGTTAGATTTGGGCACATAGACCCCTTCCTCATCCGAGGAAGAGGGATCATCACTGTCCCTTAATTCGTCGGCAGCTTTGTCGACGTCGATTTCAGCCAAGTTGTCCGCGTCACGACGGAGACGAAGCGCGCTGATCTTGAACAACTCCGCGTCGACTTCCATGTCCCATTCTGCTTCTTCGTTGGTTAGAACAATTTTGGCGTCGAGTTTTTTCTGATGCTCACGCTTGACTTTCCGGAGGTGCTTCAACTTGCGTTTGGCAGCTTTTCGTTCTTCTTCTCGGAGCGATTCTATCTCCTTTTTCAGTTTTTCTTCTTCATCTTCCGACTCTTCTTTCGGTTCCTCTTGAGGGGCATCAGCCGCTTCTGCTTCTTTCCGTTGCTTTTCTGGAATCACGTTTTGATACAATGTATTGATAAACCCAGGATGTATTTTTTAATTTTTTCTTTGAGCGCCATTGATACAAATTTGACATAAACTTAAACTAACCTTTCTCCAATCGTAGTTTCTTGCGCCAATTCAGCAGGGTGCGGAACTCAGCACGTCCAAGAACCTGATAATGCGAAAAAGATTTTCAGAAAAAAATATTGATTTTCGGACTCATCAAAGGTAGAAAAATAGAAGTGGTGGTAAACAATTTAATCAAGCTGAAATAAAGTTATTCGGAAATCTTTGGAACGGACTACATACTGAATCAAAAACTGGGCGCCTTTAAAAATCGATTTTCTGTGAATTTCAAACAGGACGAGCAGAAATTGAATTGGTGGCTAGGAAATTAACAGATTACTCTGGGAATATCAGATCCATCTCGATGCATCAAACAAGATTTCAACAATCAAAGCATCAAATTGAAAACCTTGAAGAACCTGTAGAACCATCCCTCATACATGCAAAATGAAATTCAGAATCAGCATCGCCGACGCTAAAACAAAGGGAGAGAAAACATGCCTTCAAATCTGCACAGTACTCCTTGATTTCGTCTGTGGTCAGGGGATGCGATGCGATTTCTGGGGAATCTTCAAAATGAATCGCGGAAGCAGATCCAAGTATTTCCAAGTGACCGATCGGGGGAACAATGAACTCAGAAACCGGTACACGAGAATATATGACATATGGCTGATCTTCAGGATAACCCTCAGCTTTGGGCTTCTTCGCCTTTCTGCCTTCAGGCTTCGTTAAGTCCAATTTCTGCTTTGTCACAGTCGTCTCATCTTTGAAGACCACTTTTGGATCGAAAACATCAGGTCCTAATCTGAAAATGATACAGTGAAATATCATTTTTTTCGGCGCGGGTTCATTCCAGAAAAATGCGGGCCCCATCATAAAAATTTGAAAAATAACGCGATGAAGGCTTCAATCCCTGTTTTTAGCATCAAATTTTACAGATTTTAAAACTACCCGATATTTCCCGGCATATATCACCTGAATAATAGGGATTAAAATCAGACTGCACACAAAATGCTTGAATAAGGCAAAACACTGTCGCCTTATAGATACAAAAAAATGCATCTGATTTCGACTTGAAAAACGCTGGGAACACAAACTGACAGAAGAGGAATTCTTACAGATCCAGGAAGAAAATTACTTTACATTTACTAAGCAATGAGGATAAGAACTCACTTCTCCGCCCCAAGGAACCCTTGACAAACGACGAAAATTTCAGCTGATTCAGACCGAGATGCCCGCGGCTTCGTGGCGTGTACACGATCAAACAATTTCCCGGCCACTGACAATAACTTCGTGTAGTCTTTCGAACGAAACGCCTTCGTGACAAACCAACCGCCCTTGTTCAAAATTTCGGCGGAAAGTTTGAGAGCTGACAGCACGAGCTCATTTTGCTTGAACGCATCGTGCAGCCAATTCCTACCCACGTTCGGGGCTCCATCATTGAGTACCACGTCGGCCTTCCATGTCTGAAGCTCCTTCCTGAGTTTCTGGCGACACGCTTCTGTAGTGATATCCGCCTGGATCGAAACAGTGCGTGGAATTGGCTTGATGGGGAACAAATCCACACCTGAATAACAAACATCCCAAAATAAAAGGGGATCCGCGATTCCAACGCCAACACGAGTCCGAACACAATAATATTCGCAGAAATACTGAACAGGAGTGGCGCAAAAAATTTTGGATCGGCAATGTGCGAATAACATTTCAGAACTCACATGAGATGATACCTAAATGTAAACTGATTCGAAATTATACTACAATTTCTCTAACGTTCTTGTTAATTTAGTATTTCCATACATATTTTGATCCTGGGGTTATTAAAAAAAACTTATCCGAGGAAAAATTCGCAGAATAGGGAGAACGTTTCATTTTCAAACCGCAATACCTCGATGGTAATATGAACTCCTGGGAATTACAAATCGTGCGTTTTTTTCTCCCTTCATGTAAACATCATGGCCATTTTCGACAATCTTCTTCCGAGTGAAATTAATTACGGCGCCGTCCATCGAGTCGACTTGAAAAAAATTACGACGAAGACATATCTACATGCTTCCTGACTTGCGATTTGGATCTTCGTTAGGTTATCACCGACTATAACGAATCACGCAGATCAGCGGTATAAAAATGTTTTACGATCAAAACATTTATTATCTGAATAATTGAATAGACTATCCCATGAACTTTGCAATCGAATCTGAGACGCGACTTGATTAATCTGTCTTTGTCAAAACTTTGCACTACGTCTCATATTCGCGTAATTAGTCAGGCAAAGAGATCTTACCAATGATCAAACTCGATACAGGCATGAACTGTGACGCCACTTGCATCCATCCTCCAGGGGCGGCACAAAGATCGACCAAAACTCTGGATTTGGCCAGAAAAAAAAACTTATCCGAGGAAAAATTCGCAGAATAGGGAGAACGTTTCATTTTCAAACCGCAATACCTCGATGGTAATATGAACTCCTGGGAATTACAAATCGTGCGTTTTTTTCTCCCTTCATGTAAATATCATGGCCATTTTCGACAATCTTCTTCCGAGTGAAATTAATTACGGCGCCGTCCATCGAGTCGACTTGAAAAAAATTACGACGAAGACATTTCTACATGCTTCCTGACTTGCGATTTGGATCTTCGTTAGGTTATCACCGACTATAACGCATCACGCAGATCAGCGGTATAAAAATGTTTTACTATCAAAACATTTATTATCTGAATAATTGAATAGACTATCCCATGAACTTTACAATCGAATCTGAGACGCGACTGGATTAATCTGTCTTTGTCAAAACTTTGCACTACGTCTCATATTCTCGTAATTAGTCAGGCAAAGAGATCTTACCAATGATCAAACTCGATACAGGCATGAACTGTGACGCCACTTGCATCCATCCTCCAGGGGCGGCACAAAGATCGACCAAAACTCTGGATTTGGCCAGAAACTCATATTTCCTATTCAGCTGTNCGTAATTAGTCAGGCAAAGAGATCTTACCAATGATCAAACTCGATACAGGCATGAACTGTGACGCCACTTGCATCCATCCTCCAGGGGCGGCACAAAGATCGACCAAAACTCTGGATTTGGCCAGAAACTCATATTTCCTATTCAGCTGTATTAGCTTGAACGCAGCACGTGACCTGTAGCCTAATCAAAGTAAATTGAAATGAGCAAATGATAAGATTAAATCTAGTTTCATAAAAACTCACCTGTTTCTTTGGCTAACTGATAGAACTTATCCTTCCGCTGCTTCCCCACCTTTTTCTTAGCCATCTCTCAACACACACGCCGATAACTACAAAAATCACCAGCCTATAAAAAAAAAAATTTCTTATTGATTACGATTACAAAATGAAATTTCTTCTTTGAAAGAGGCTGAAAACAGCCCAAGCACATCCAAAAAATCACATTCCGTTTAGAGAATCAGAAATGGTGGAAAAACTACTCAGTTTCACGCGAATTTAAATCAAGCGTTACAGCAGCCAAGAATGCAGGGATTGACCGCCGTTTCGTCAGATAGCATTCGAAAGAGGTTTTGTTGGCGCCGCAGAAGTCCGAATCGAGCATTTCAATCAACCCATCCGATGTTCTCTGAAATATGGAGGAGGACGGGTATTGAACATCAACACACAAAATGGGTACATAGGAACTACTTTTCGCCGTTTTATGTCGATGCTGGCTGAAAGTACGCATACAGAAGTGATTATTGCTTCGATTCGTCGAAGAAAAATACTGTATACCCAAAATCACCCACAAAACTCACGCAAACATTAAATTTAACGTATTTCTAGTAGGAAGAAATTAAAATTTAAACAATAATCACGTTTAAAATAGAAATGTTAAATTACTGCTAGAGAGCAAATTTCAAATTTTAAATGCGCATTTTTAATGAAAGAAGAGCTCGTTTAAAAATAAAACAAGCTCGACACGCCATTTCCAATGGTGCTCATGAATTACAAATGGTTTCAATGCGGTATTCAAGAGGTAATTCAATTTCAAGAATAAAAAGGAGCAAGAATAGGCATGATTCAATTCCCATATCAAAAGGGCTGAGAACTATAATTTGTCGGCCCAGCAATGTGGAAAAGTGACTCAAATATTATATGTAACACTGCTGAAATTCGGAAACCTAATTTTCTCCAAGGTACGTGCGGAAATCAGACATTCCACGCCTTGTATCATCAATAGGAATTTACCCTAAATACCTAGAAACGAATTACAATGACTGTAGAAGCGAAGAATATCACCAAATGGGTCCACAATTTACCCGAAGAAGAAAAAAATCTTCCGGTGAGTCGGCATACATCGAAGTAAGTTTGAAGTTGTCAGGGCCGATTTTGTCCAGTTTATAACCCGAAAACTGATAAACAAGCTCTCGAAATTCTTGACTGGTGGCCTTCCATTCCTTCCGCAGGCGTTCCGACATCGTTTCAGACCGCTTGAGCGCTAATTTCAGGTCACGAATCTCCTTATAACTGTACTCATCTTCTTTTCCAACACTTGTTGTATCCAGAGACGGCGTTTCGCCTTTCGACGAGGATGCTACAGCCAGCTTTGTTCTCAGAGCTTTTACTTCAGCCTTGAGCATCTCGAATTCGTTTTCACGCTCTTTCCGTTGCCAGGCAATCGGACCATTCCTAAAATCATAAAATGAGAACAAAAACCAGGAAATCAGTTTATTATGCAGCTCATTAGAACAACGTACATAGAAATGCAGCATTCAAGTTTTGAAAAATTAATTAATCCAGGCAGACGAAAAATTAGTTTCGTTGTAAACACGCTTTTATCCGGAATTCGTAAAAAGATAACTAACAATTTTTTTAGCGAATAATATTGATGTACACGTACACGAAATAGTAGTAGAAACATAAAAGTAAAGAATTGAATAGAATATTGAAGTGATTATTAGTCAGAAATAAATCGTTCGTAGCAGTCGAAAATTCTCACGATCACCCTAAAAAATGCAAAGCTGCATTTCAATGATTTCCTCAGAAAAACCTGGAGACATTCGTCAATTTAAAAAATCCAAACATAAAATTACAGAATCCCTTATGCTCAAATCCAGTACCTGTACAGTGCAGTACTTTGATCTGCGAATACAGTACAGTATCTTCGTAAACTTTTCAAAGAGCAGCAATTCGCACGCTTACCGCAAACGAACGATAATTCCTCCTTCCGAGCTTTCAGGTTGATCTTTGATCTGAGATTTTATCGTTTCTGACGATTTCTTCAGCTCTTCAATTTGTTTCAACAACGAGCCATTTTCGACGGTAAGTTCTTCAAGTCTCTGCTTACAGGTAGAGAGTTCTTCGTCCAACAATTGTTTCGAATTCAACTCGGATTCTCGTGCTATCAGCTTTGAAGTCAACTCAGTAATCTGTGTTTCGCTTTCCCGCTGCACAACTTCCATGTCTTCCACGCATGATTTCAGAGTTTCAAATTCCGTGAGAGATGCATCAAGATCCACTTGAGCTTGACTCTTCTTCGCTTCTGCTTCCACTAGAGCGCTTTTCACATCGGCTACGATTCTGAAATTTCAGAAAGTTTGTTTTGCTACTCGTAAAGCCTCAAGATACATCTATGATGAGCATCATGAATATTGGAGCATTCTAAATTTTGCGCGTGAGCGCTTGGGACCTTTGGGTTCAGCCGAAATGTAGGTACGAACAATTCAGGATTTCCGACTAAATTCACTTTCTCGGGAGTCACAGTTAGAAGTTTCAAAATTTGAAAACCGGACAAATTGTGCGATCATCCCCATCGAAAAATCCAATGGAAAAAGCCGCACCTTGCTTTTCCACAGTTTACAATACGGAAAACAAGACGAGACCATTCAGTACTTTTTTTTTAAGAAGAACGTAGCAAGTGTTAAACATCATCAGTACTCACAGTTCGATCTTCGACTTTTCTTCTTCACACACTTCTTTCTTCCGCAGAAGGACGTTGAACCGCTCAAGAATCCTGCATTGATCACTCAGAACATCGGTTTTCTCTTTCCTCAAAGCAGCTATTTCATGCTTCAGAGAATCCAATTCAGATTCCAAGACGATTCGAGAATGATTATCTTTTGAAGGAGGGAATTTTCGAGCCAACGCCAACTCCGATTCTAAACGGTAACAACTTTTCTCAGCCTCGCGCACTTTGGCTTCTAGCGCATTCGTTCCACCATGAACGCTCTCCAGTGCAGCACGAAGACTCGTAACTTCTCTCGTAAGCGATTCATTAGCGTCCTTCAGCTTCTTAATTGTCTCTGAATGGTCCGTATCTTTCTTTTCCATTAGACTTGATGCTTCAGAGTCAGTGGCTACTTCGGGCAATGTTGTATGCACAGGTGAGCTCGGAGCTGTCAGACGCTCAATTTCTTGCCGATACTCCGCGAGAATGTTTTCCATTTCGCTCAATCGCTGGTCGGCTGGACTGAAAGCAGCGGTAATGTCGTTCTGATACGAGTCCAGTAAACGTCGACAGGAATCACGTTCCAAGATAACAAGCTGCTTCAATCGCAAGGCTGAATTAAGACGCCTCTGCAAGTCATTTGCTTTTTCCTCTTGCTCGCGGAGAGTCTTGCTCAGTGCAACAATCTTGGAACGATGTTCAGATATTTTCACTTCAGCGGCATTGGAGCTGCGAGTATATAAAGCGGTATACTCGTACAATGTAATAGAAAGTTCTGAAAATAATCGCATTATGAGGTGAGCACTCACTCGGATCTTAATTTTCCATTCTCTGTTGCAAGCCTGACATCATTCTCCTGCAGACCGGCAATGGTTGCGGCAAGATTGTGAGGATTTATTTCCAACGACGAGGGAATTAGTTGGGCGCCAACACTTTCCCAAGAGGATAATTTCACGTCGAGTATGGCCTTTTCTGATCTCAGATCATTAAAATCGTCCAGCTGTTCACGCAGCATCGCATTTTCCTCTTTCAAATCGTGATTTTGAGCTTCCAAGACCAATGCCTTCGCCGAACCACGTCTGCTCAGCATGCAATGATTTTACAGTATTATCAGAAGCATTCTCAAAGCTCGATTCATGAACGAAAGAGGGGAAACATTTTCAAAACGCGACCACAACTCGATTGCAGTATTTATATCTTGATTCCATTGTCTTGAGTATAAGGAATGTTGCACGGAATAAAAAGCAGGTAGAAAAACTACCGTATTAAGAGCATCGTTTCGGGAGAACATTTAAATCAGTGTGTACAATTTATTAAAAATTTCTCAACACGCTGGATTATAACTACAAAATATACAATTATAGGCTATCAATATTATCCAGAGCTAGAAAATCATGAGGAAGCTTTCAATTTCCAGATGGTTGAAGTAGAGCAGTGTTACAAGGATGGCTCATTTTCTATTTCTATAAGTTTATGGCAACCGCAAATTTAGACGGAACATCATAAATTAAAAGAGCAAAAAATTCCAAATCAATGCAATGTTACTTCGAAAGGGCAAAAAATACATGCGTATGCTTCATAAGTGAAAACGTATTACCCTTTTCCCTAATTCATTTTTTAATACTTCTTGGGCATTAATTATCAACGGATTTCATACCTCCAGTTACAATTTAGGTTCACTAGGCCACGTTCATCTCGTCTCCCCTGAACACAGACGGCAAATTTGGAAATGGACAAGTAGATAAGCATTCACATTTTATTCTAAGTATTTTCAAATATGAGACGTACGGACTCACCGAAATAATTCGTCATTTTTCTTCAGCTTTTCATTCTCCAACATAATAGACGGGACATCAGTGAGCCTTGTGTAGAATACTTTCTCCAATTTCTTCATATCATCAAACTCTTTGACGGTCTGTTGGCTTTCCTGGATTTTTTTGGACAATGCCAATCAGTTAAGAAACTATAGAATACCCCGAAAGCTTCAAATCTTACGTTTAGCTTTAAGCGTGTTCGTCGTAACTCATCTTTCAATACATCAAGTTCTTTCTGGAGTTCGGTTTGACTAGAAAGCGACGAGGCGATCTTCTCGTTGCAAGACTGCTTCAGCTCCAAAATTTCGGAATTCAAGTGTTCAAGCTCACGTTTCCGGATTTCCTTTTCTGAATTTGCTTGTCGCACTTCTTGTTTCAACTGAACAAAATAATTCAAGAATAAGCACGCTTCAGACAAAATCATCTGGAAATGACATAGAATCCGGACATTCGAATAATTTGTTCCGTCTCGAACAAAGACTCGACCGTTTTTACAATCCCAACTTTCAAGTTCAGCAGCTGAACCTATGAATTTTCACTCGCCTCCAAAATTTGAAGCTCCCGTTCAGAAACGAATCTTTCTTGAGTTATTAGCTTTTTTTCAAGTTCTGCTCCCCTACGCTGGAATGATTTCTGGGCTTCAAGAAGATCGTTGTCTTTTTCTTGAAGTTTCCGCCGAAAATTCTCATTTTCTATGGAAGCAACATCAGCTTTCCTTTTCTCGCCACGAATCTGAGTAGCGTGAACTGAAGTCACATCACGAGACCGGTCCTGCAAACTTCGGATCACGGAGTCCCGTTTCCCCAGATCTTGCCTCAATTTTAGTATTTCTGTTTCGGCACGGAACAACTTTGATTCTGAGTCCATCAATTTGCGTCGCATGCCTGGGAGAAAAAGAACCAATGAGTTAACAGAAATGAGCGAAGGTCAAGAAACTTACCAGCTTGATTCAAAATATTGACCGTGTTTCCCTCAGTCGACCACACGGATTCATCCGTCCTCCCAAGGTGCACACTAGCATCTAACATGGAGATACTCATGTCTACTAATTCACTAGGATCACGATTTCCCGCCATATTTCGTGAACAAACGCACAACAATCACGCAAACACTTTCCTGCTTAAGAAAACACGATTTTACACTTCATCTTGTACACGTAACTGCTCTCAATGTAATTCCAACTCGAGTAGATAACGCTTCACGTCGTCCCGTTTGCCGCTGGAGTAGTGTCCGATTTTTCCGGAGCTCAGAATGACACGATGACATGGAACCAAGAGCAAGAAAGGATTATTAGCCATTGCTTGGCCAACAGCTCGCGAACTTTTCTCTGCAACACGTACATTACTGTATTCTAAAGATCAGAAGAGTCGCTAATTAAATTATCATACCTGAAACTCCAGCTAATCTGGCCAATTCTTTATAACTGATGCGATCACCACGCTTCGTCCCGTCCTTCAGTGACAACCAAACTTTAACCCGGAAGTCTAGCCGTAGAAACCTAAGGACTTCATTCGACAATTGGAGCTGGTGAAATAGATTAGACTCACCGGTATGACCTTCAAGACATAATCCAGGCTGTTCACATTCAGGGCTGCACCGAACAAAATAGTGCTTCAGCCAATTTACTGCGTTCATGACATGTTCCGCGTCTGGTGGACCGCATTCCTCGCTTTCTTCAAGCTCAACTTCCGCATCGTTTATTTTTCCCACTCCTGCTGGCTCGAGATGTATGCTATGGATACCCTTCCGGCAAACGGAAACAAAAATTCGGCCGATGGGAGACGCAACCACGTGCGACGTTACTGCTGCACCACTGAGACACGTCGCAGTCTTTCCCGTCATCTTCCAAAGCTCACGCAAAAACACGCCCTATTCATAAGAACACTCCGGCCGGCAAAGGCTACTCAAGTACCACTGACTACACGCGCGAAAAAATACGATCACTTGTTGAAGGCTGAAGCCTGCACGTTCGGCGCAATCCTTTCTTCCATCTTTAGCATGATCCTGTCGTCGAATCACAGTACATTAACTGGACACAATTCAATCGGCAAATAAAGAATAATATACTCTTCCACTGCGAATAGCAGGGAATAATTCAAGTCTTGCAAATACTGTAGTGCACTGAACTGTACACTGGAATACTGTACCTTGGTAAGGGCGTAGCCCATACGACAAGTACGACACCTACCGAGGCATATGAAAAGCATGTTCTTTGTCCTGCAATCCCCACCGGATTCACTTGCTGGAAAGCGAGAGTTGCGCGGCTGGAGACCGGACGAATTTGAGGGGCGCTTCTTCCTACTGTACTGTACTGTACCTCCATCCCTCCCCACTGCCCAGTTCAGCCCAAAGAGGGGCTTTTTGTATGCCTCCCTCTCCTACACCTTGTGTTTCATTCTCATATCCCAGCAAACCGATTCACAGGTTACCGCTGGGCTCCTTGTTCGTCACTCCCCCTCAAGTTGCCTCCCTTCCAGATTTCCTAGAGTGGCACAGCAGCTCACTGATAGCTTCTTCCCTGGGTGCCAGCTAGTCCCCTGTAGTTCCCGCCCGATAGCTGTGCTGGTCGGATGGTCAGTTGGTTGTCGTGGTAGCTGGACAACAGAGCGAGAAAAATGAGGAAATGAAAAAATTTCCGTGATATGAAGATACCTACCTAGTTTTTAGGAATGACTATCAATAATCTCTCGGAATAGGGATAATCGTGATCTTTAAATTTCGTGATTTTTTTCTGATTGGAAATCCGCTGCGGTTTTATTTTGTTCATTATTGCCAGTTTTTTTGTGAATGGAAGGTGCGTTTTTGTGACATAAATGAGTTTTTCTATGCCCGAAGAATGGAAACGAGAGTGGAAGAAGGTCGTATTTTATTCGCATACATCCTTCTTGGTGTGTGTGGATTGTCGAGGATTATTGGTGGTAATTTTGTTCATTGTCTCGAACGATCATCGCATTTAACTTGAATGCTGAGAGTGAATGGAAGAATTACAATTCTGGAATTTCCCCATAAGACATCGGAATAGTGTTCTCAGGTATCTTCTAAGTCGAGCTGCGGAGGAATTTTGTGTAATAATCTGAGGAAGCATTTCCTGCAAATAACCATTGAGGTTGTCTATCCTAATCCAATACTAATGTATTTTACCTGTTTCCTAAGAGTTGAAGTTGATCCCAGCATTCCAGCAATTTCTGATTTCAGAAGCTGTTTAATTTTCTCAAAGGAAACCAGTGCAGTTTATCTCACCGTGATCGATGGTGATTTTCTTTTTCAACCCTTTGTGCAAAACTTCCTTTGTTGTGTCACTTCAGCGCATACACAAAATGATAAGTTCTTCCTGTAATTCCTTTGTCAAACATTTATTTTTTGCATTAATTTTTCCGTCTCTTTGCATCATACTAATTAAATTTGGGGGATATCTTATAAATGTAATTCGTGGTTATGGAATACAGTAGTTTTGAAATATGGTTTTTTTTGGCCAAGATATATAGTTTTGGAATTGGGTAGAAGTTTGGATATTCATTAAATAACCTAGCTATAGTACGTTTTCGGAATAGTTCACGAAGGAAATCTCTTGTTGTTTTATGTTTGAGATAACTAACATAACTGCATGTACTGTACATGCTTTGGATAAGGTAAGATTAGATAAGTTGAGGATTATTTTGGTTTCAGATTGAGTTTCATGAGTGCTGGGGGTTTGGTCTTTCGATACAAAATAAGGTCAAATAGTTTGATTCTGTACAAGGTTATGTCAGATAACTTTGTAAACTGACACAAATGTTACTGTAGATGTATTAAATTATCTGGGTTCTAGTTGCGCAAAATGTAACGGGTGGGAAATTGACGCAGTAAGTTTTATATTGCCTGAAAGATTTGTATTTTAATTTGACGTGTGTTTTATTTCTCGCAATTTTCACCGCCGTAATTCGCAGAATAATGTGGAGTGATTTTCTTTTAAAAGCCGAAACGTGGGTTCTGCATGTGTTGATGGCACCCCACATTTGCCGATGCTTGTGACCAGAGTTAGTTTAGTGGTAAAAAAATAAACATCATCACTTGGAGCTTCTGGGTATCATTCTTCGGGTGCGAGGAAAAAAGGAAAGAAAACCCGGTATCCGTGAGTGATTGAAACGATCGGGCGCCGACCTGATATGCCGTCTGTCGTGTTGTTGCCTTGGGCAGACGACGCAAACGACGACGAAGACGACGACATCAACAAGAAGAAGAAGATCAGCAACAGGATTTCCAACAACAAGATGGGCGAGCCCAAGTGGGTGAACGCCGAATGGCTGTGGGTAGAATTGCGTCGGTCCTCCGGGCCCGGAGTGCTTGTGGTGGACTGCCGAAACCTGGAGGACTATTCCTTGGCTCGGATCCGCGGATCCGTCCACATGTCGCTGCCGTCATTGTTGTTGCGGAGATTGGCGGCTGGGAAATTACCTGTGGAGAATGCGATCCCGTGCGGGGTTGCCAGGGACACGTTTTTGTCGGCCTGTGGCGCCGGACGGCGGCTCGTGGTGTGTGGACGAGCGTGTGACCCGGCGGATTGCATGGACGCCGAAGACCGGGGCTTGGGGCCTGTGGCGTCTGTTTTGCTCAAGCGGCTGTGTCAAGACGGCCACGAGGCTGTCGCTTTGGGTGGTGAGTATACTCGTACTGTTTTTAATATACTTTACTATCGTCAGTAGAGTACCTGTACTGCATTTACTCGAGTACCACGCGCCATCGCGTAAGGGGCGCAACCAGATTTTTCAGTCTAAAACTTCGATTGAAATCTATCCCCGATCTTCCGTGACTGAAAGTGCAATATTGAAAAATACGAACACACAAATTTTGAAATTCCGACATGAATTGAACCTGAATTCAACTAATTTTCAATTTTTTCCTAGAAAAAATCAGTATTTTTATAAAATTGGTTCAAAATTCCCATTAAAATAACCTATGATGCACGCCTAAACTTCTAAAACTTTTTCGAAAAATTTATACTTGGATATTACTCGCATCCCCTTTTTCTCCTATAGATTTTTGAAAAATGCTTGCGTGGTACTCGAGTATGTACGGGTACTACTTATACCGAAAACCTCTTCGAACTTATATTACAGTACAATACTCCACCCTCCTTTATTTTGTGGTTTATCCTTTTTGAACGCGAATGTGAGACGCCTTTTCATTGCACTTACTTTCTTCAGAATCAGATTATACTGTACTGTAGTCTGTTGATTCTATTCATGATGAAGTTAATTTCATGATTTCTTGAAATACCACGGGTGAAAACCAGAATTCTTTATCGTGTCTTATTTAACTTGATTTGGTCGTACAAAAACTATCGAGATTTCGCAATTGAATTTTAGATCATTTTTGCATTCTCACGTTTCTGTTAGTCATTGAAATCTAAGATGCAATCAAATATAAGATTCACCCTTAGGTTTTGAAAAATAAAAAGATGACAGTTTTCAATTGGATCTGAAGTTACTGTCATTTTTGTGTGAAAAGTTCGAAGGAAAAACCGGGACTCTTAATTCATTTTTATTTCAATGTACTGTACAGTAAGTACCGATATTTCTTAATTGACTTGGAAAATCATTTTTGTATTCAAAAGATTTTGTTGCTCGTTAGCAGTTATTCGCTTCATGTGGAAATCTAAGACGTAATCAAATACGATATCCAGCGTGAGGCTTTGAAATAAAAACGATGAGCCTTTTTAATTGGCTCTGAGGCCAACAGGCATATTTTCAAAAGTCGGTATTGTATTTCACTAATGAAAATAATTTTTACGATTCTCGTCCATTTTCCTGGCGAGATTTTTGTTGTTGCGGTGTTCACTAAGATAATGATAAGTTCAGTAAATCAACCTCATCCGGACTTGCATGCCATAATTTCTTTGCGATATATATTTTATCCCTCGCATTTTTCAATTGTCAAATTTCTGATTAGAAATAAAAATGAACACCGCGTGGCTGTTCTGAAAATGTCCCAAAGAAAAACGATTTTGCCCTCTTTTAAAGTCTTTGAATGAACAGTCGACTGTTGCAGAAGTCAATAAATTCCGTCCCACGAAAACATATAATGGATATTAATCAAAACTGTCGATAGGCGATGATTTGATGGACGATAAGTCATCATCCCGCACGTTCGCATGGAGTGAAAAATATTTATCAAGGAAACGAGTGTCATAAGAAGTGTGTCTGATTCTTCCCGCGCGCTGTCAGATTTTTCAATTATCACGCCAACGTTTCAAGCCAAAATATCAATAGATTCGCGTTAATAGGGCGATGTCAATTATTGGAAAGTTACCTCAAGTGAACACTGTAATGAACTTCGATGAACACCTCGAGCATTATTTTTTTTTTCAACTGCGCGCAAAAAACCCGACGCCGATTGTAGGTTGTATGATTTCAAATACCGTATTTGAAATTCGTGGGTGGAGAAAACGTCTAAAATTTTGAAAGAAGGAAAAAACCGAATCATTGTAAATTGTTTGAATATGGAAAAAAAAACTTGTGTTCCTTCCTTGCCTTACTGCGAGCAGGAATCTGACACCCGCGTGGCTGATTGAAGTTTGTGCGTCCTTGGAGCTCAAATTCCCGAATGTGCCCTTTCTCATGCAATTTGCAGGTAGCGTGGACGGGTTCCGGGAAGAGTACCCGGACTGGTGCGAGACAGTAGACGACGACACTAAGGCGAACCCCAAGGGCGACGCCGCCTCGGACTCTGACTGCGGCGCCGGTAACAAGGACTGGCTCCGAGACTCTGAGCCTGCTGTCGTTGGGCTCCAGGCCCTCAGGCTGACCCCTGGCTATGTCAAGACACCAGACAGTGGGTATCCCCTGTCGAAAAAGTCCCGTTTCTCGGCCCGTGCCCGGGAATCGCGTCCCAAAAAGACGCCGGCCACGCTCAAACCACCCAGGTTCGTCATTCACACTGCAGTTTATTTTTTTTCTTCCTTATGTCAATCTTGGTCGGGGAATTTTTTCCGACAAGTTCTCAGGCTTATTGACGCAACATCGTTTAAGTTAACTTTAAAAGCGCTTACCGAG